ACGGTAGCCTTGATGAGAAGACACAGGATAACGGAGCGCAAGGAACGCTTAAGAGGGTTACATTAACAGAGAATATGAAGAGGCGGTTAGAAATCACAGGGCAAGTGACACCTTATCCTGATAACCCGGCAATAAAAAAAAATTGTAGGCTGTGATGTATAGGCAGAGTGGTTGCCACTTGCTAGACCGGTTGAACGCTCTTCCTGGGAATCTTGCAAGCCATCTAGTCCAGCAGTCACCAACTGCTGGTCTGCAGAAAAACTATTTACATTTGTTATATTGCACTAAATCAGGGGTCCTCAAACTACGTGCAATGAAGGTTTGTGTCGCTGCAGAGAGTCTCCCCCTTCAGGCTCTTTTTGGGTGGGTCGGAGAGGGGCAGAAATTCCGACTTGGGGTCTGGTATGGGGCTTTGGGCGAAGGCTAGAGGGAAGCACTGCTGGTGGTGAAGAGCCGGAGGGCCTCGTTCCAGTGGGACTGCATCATGGCCTGGAACTGGCTGATCATCTCAGCCTGCTGAGCCTCCAGGTGCCGGCACCTGGCCTTGCACTCCCTCAGCTCTTCCCTCTGCTTGGAAAGCCTATGCACGTAGTCCTCAGTGAGGTGCTTCTGCTGAGCCTCCTTTTCGGTCAGGTCCAATTAGAAATGAGGTGTTTTGCCAACTCTTTCTCCTGGTGGCTGCTTAGCTCCAACAATTGTTCCTGTTGGGGCCCTAAGAAGCCCAGGTAGGCGGGCGAGGAGTGGCTGGGAGGGGAGGGGCAAGTAGAAGCTGGTGAGGCGCCCCTTAACATGAGTGACATCGAGTTGCCCCCCCCCAGTCATATGACCACCAAGCCACACCCACCCAGCCAGTCATTGGGGAGATCATATTAGTGGTCTACAAGATTTAAAATTATGAATTTAGTGGTCCCTGAGGCCCAAAAGGTTGGTCACCCCTAATCTAGTCCAACTCCCAGCCCATACATAGTCCTCGATGTGCAACAATTGAGCTCAAAATTTCTGTTGCTAAGCAAAAGACATTCGTTAACTGAGTTTTTACAACCTGATATTACAACCTTTCTTGCCACAGTTAAGTGAATCACTGCAGACGTTAAGTTAGTAACATGGTTGTTAAGTGAATCTGGCTTCCCCGGGGACTTCACTGGTCAGAAGGTCGCAAAAGCGGATCGCACGATGCTGCAACCGTCATAAATATGAGTCGGTGGCCAGGCGTCTGAATTTTGATCACATGACCATGAGGATGCCGGAGAAGTCATAAATGTGAAAAATGGTCATAAGTCACTTTTTCAGTGCCGTTTTCAGAACCTTTACAGACACTAAATGAACTGTTGTAAGTTGAGGACTGCCTGTAGAAGGATGAAGGAAGCCGTGTACTTTGAAAATAAAAGAATTGTAAAGCGGAGGGAATCTTGAAAGAAAGACTCACTGGCGTATAAGTTGATGAATATGAAGTAAGAGAGTATTAGATACAAATAGTAGTTAGTTAGTTCTCTACTAAGAACCATAATTCAGACCGAACCTCTTGTTGTTAAGCAAGACAGTTGTTAAGTGAGTTGTGCCCCATTTAATGACGTGTGCCACCACTGTTAAGATAATTGCTACAACTGTTAAGACAGTCATAAGGTCATTAAGCAAATCCCCCGTTGACTTTGCTTACCAGCTGGGAAAGTTACCAATGGTGATCACATAACCAGAGGACCATTCAACTGTCAAAAGTACATGCCAGTTGCCAAGTGCCCAAAGTTTGATCACGTGACTATTGGGATGCTGCAACGATTCCCAACTAAGAGTCACTTTCTTGACTTCTGTCCATCCGAGTCCAAAGCAACAGGAGGCCTATGAGCCATATATTTGCTTAAACAGCAGGTGCATATTTTCCAACTCAAACGCTTAAAGATGCGTCAAAAGGAAAATGAGAAAGACAGTTTTTAAAAAATGAACTAGAGTGCCTAAAAGAGAGAGAGAGAGAGAGAGAGAGAGAGAGAGAGAGAGAGAGAGAGAGAGAGAGAGAGAGAGAGA